AGAGGTTTGGTTTGGTTGCATCATGATCTTAAGATGCTTGAAAGGTATTATTTTTTTCTTTTTGAAAAGAGATGGATCACTTCTAAGAGTCTTTTATGCCTAAGCCAAATTAGAGATAACAATGCATGGCACTGAAATAGCGTGTTCAAATAAACCTTATTCAGTAAACAAACAGAAGTGGCCAGGGTATTAGGGTTATGCAATGCTCCAGTCTGTATTGGAAGAAAAATATTGGAAAGGACAGCAGTACCAAACACAGCTCTTACCTGTGGTTCATTAAAGCACAGAAAACAGCTGCATTCCCAAATCACTGCCAGCTTCTGCGTTCACATTCCTGCCTATTTTGAAGCAGCTCTTTCAAATCAGATCCAGTTCATACAACAGTGCTTTCCTCTATTGTCCGGAATGCTTTTTATTGCTTAAAACTTTTTTTTGTCCTTTCTGGGCAGATCAACACACTTTAAATAAAACAGTCTCATGTTTTGGTTTCAGCACCAACCACAATGTTTTACTTTTTAAAATGTTTATAATACACTTTAACAATGCCAGCTTTTAACTTCCAACTTTTAATTTAGAGCTTCCAACCAGATGCCAGCTTCCTGTTTATTATTTAATTTAAAGAATCTAAAAAAAAAATCATAAGGTGAAGTAGGAGGCTCTAAGAGCATTGTCAGTGGGGGAGTGATGGCTATAGGCATGTGAATTATTCCTTGAAAATAGGGATGATCCCCTCCCAATCTTATAATAATATCTTATAATAATCTTTTAAATAATAAAATAACAAATTAGATATTTTTCTAATCACCGAAAGAAAAAATTCTGGATCTGTTTGGTCTAATGTTATTGCCTCCTAAGAATTTCTTTAAGGGTAATAGAAAATGTCTGGGCATCCTTATGAAGGTTTAGTCCCTTGTTTCAGATGGGACCATCAACCCATTTATTATGCAGCTAAGCAACATCACCAGTGCTAGTAAATGCGGCATTTGCTTCCTTTGGAGTATTTTAATCAAATTCTTGGAAGCCAGAATAGGAGATTAATGATGCCAGTTCAGGGTAGAATACAACCTGAACTTGGGTCTTCCATCATCAAATGTAATATTGGGAATACCTTTGTGGCGCAGATGCTATAAGGATATGATTAAACGACATCCAAAGAAGAAGACCTATCTATAGAAATAACATGTTAAGTAAACTTTAATGTCATATGTACATGGATTGTATATAACTGAGCACCAGAATATTCTAGATGGGATTTTTTTTTCCCCAATAGAGAATATTTGTAGTAGCTCAGGGTTGAAATGAGTGCTCTTTGAGCTTGTTTTCTCAAAGACATTTCATTAACCAAACTAGGTAACATCATCAGTGCTAGACTGTCTGTTGATGTTACCTAGTAGTTTAGGTAATGAAATGTCTGCAAAAATGTCTGCAACTCAGAGAACACCAAGGACTCCTCATGGGATGTTTTTCTCTTTACCTTGTGGATAACTGGACTATTACTTTTTTGAATATTGGCTAAAGTGAGGGGAAAGGCATGTTATTTTTTTTCAAAAGCTATTTGAATGATGGTCTGTACATTTTAAGGTTTCTTTTTATAAAGTTAGTCATATAACCAGCCTATAAGTTCAAAAATACTTTTATACTCGCTGACTCAAAGCCTCTTATGGATTTTTTTGCATAAAAATGGAGAACAACAACTTGGACTTATGGTGTTGATTAGACAGAAAAGATTATAAAAAGAAGAAGAATATGATGAGGTTAAAATATATTTGTACTCCTAACTGCTATGAAGAATGTTGAAAGCCACCCTCCTTATATCTTTTTTCTTTCTTACATCTTTTGCTTTTCTTTGATTAGTAGTTTTTTATTTTTTCCCTTTTTTTTCTATTAGTTTGTGTTAGATGTTACCTTCTGGTTTAAAAGTTTTAATAAAAATTACATATTAAAAGCCTTTTAAATTTGACTGGATGAATAACTTAACCTTCAAAATTGAATTTTAGTTTGAGCTTTGATGCTACAAAGGGTTCCATAAATTTTCAGGTGTATAATTCATGTGTGAACGCTGCAATGAACTTGGCTGAAGCCATTTTTGCTTTGTTTTCGGTTGCCACAGTAATGGGGGGGGGGGAAATGAGTGATTCTAAAGTTAGACTAAACAATAAACTATCTTGTGGGAACTAAGGTTGTTGCTGCCTGGGTTTTGGCGGGCTGAGCTTTCCATTAGAAAGCCTGCCAAAGTAGTTTTTTATTGGGAAATGTGATTTGTGACATAGCAATGGGGTGGGAAGTCCAACTTTACAACATTGTAACCTTTGGGAGGGAACTTCAGTCTTGGTTTCACTTTTGACTGTACCGATACTTTGTAGCCAATAAATACATTCTTTAAGGAAACCTCTTGCCTTGGAATTCTGTTTTTACTGGTCTCATCTATCGGAACCATGACATCATGCTTCTACTACAATCAACTCTGAAACCAAAACAAGCTGTATTTCTTTTCTAAATCAAGCTCGTACTTTAGAATGGCAATTGGCCAGAGACCATTATTCTTTTAAAAATTGATGGGGTCCGACTGAGCAGTGCTACAGCATTCTTTCTCCTGTTATGCAGAAAATAAGTAGCTGACACATCAGTTTTTAAGAATCCTGCATATGAATGCAAGGTTAGTCATGTGTCTCCTGCAGTGCTCTCTCCCCACCCTGTGGTGATTCAAGGAAATACATGAGGAGGTTTCTTGCCAGATACAATTTTTTAGCTATGAGGATAGGAAGAAAAGGTTTTTAAGGGCTAAACAATTCACCCAGAACATCCCTAACAAGAGGCACATGCAAAACACAACAGGACAACTGCTGAAGGTACAGTGCAAGCATCTTCAATCACCACTATAGCATCATTTTATTTTATTTTCTCTTCAGAAAGTGCCTCTAAATTTGTGAATAGTCAAATTCCATGGTTAAACCAGTTTCTATTGTTTTGGCAAGGAAGCACAATCTATTTCAAGTCCAGGAGAGAATAGCATCGGGGTTCCTCTCTTTGGCTATGGCTATGCAATGAATGTATGCATTCACTGCCATTTTTAATTAAACTGTAGCTTGCGATTGTATTTTGAACCTGCCCAGCTAGATGGCTGATCTCAACATGCTAAACAGACTAGAACTGGATAGTTCTTTAATGTCAGATTAACAAGAAAGTCCAGGATTGTTACTAGACTGAGAAATTTACAAATTATCCAGGAATAAAACATCAGCAAAAAATATCTGTGCTGTTGCCAAGAAAATAAAATGTGTCCATAAGGTTGAATTCAGTTCAAGGACTTTACTTACATTCTCCTAGAACAAGCCAACTTTAAGCTGTGGCAATAACATGTGGGCAACTGAAAATATGAAACTAAAAGCTTGACACACTGGAAAGAAGTTTCCCTGTATAACAATTTCCTTCAGTGTGCAGACTAGAGTGGAATATACTCCAACTGCTATCTGCTATTCCTGTTCATTTCAACTCTCTTTTTCACCCTTTGCTTCTACTTCAGTTCTCCAAATAAACTAGCAGTTATGATCAGGCACGCAAGTGTTTTATATAATTGTGTAGCACCTTTTCCTTCTTTAAAAAAGTGGATTTGTGGAATTTTAAAATACTTAAAGCAAGTCAGCACCTTCCACTTAAGCTTTAAACAACATGATTCCATAGACAACCAAGGAAGATTAATTTAAAACAATGATTTGGAAAGTATCCCTTACAGAGTTGAAGAATGGCCACTTCTACATACACCTAAGAAAAAAATCCACTTATTCAGAGTATCAAAGGTGAAAATCAGGGAAAGGCGGGATGTGGCATTAATTTTAAGTGTACAATGTATTGACCTTCCGAATTCCAATATAAGAAAAAAAAATGACGCATGTACAAATCCAGTGTGCTTTCTCACAGCTGAGGAATTCATGGAAATAGGGAGAAGAGCAAAGATCATTATAGCATTCCTGTAGCACTCCTGAGTTTTAAAGATATGTAGTCTCCTATATTATACCACACTTTGAAGCTTCATGTGCTTAAGTCTTTCCAGCTACACAGATTACCCTTATTAAGAGAGGTGAAAAAAGACAAAGCAAAAGGGCAAAAGGGTGATGAAATAGTCTAGATACTCCATGAAATTGCCATACAGAATGTGCACGTAAAATGAGCTTTCCGAGAAATGAATTTTTTCATGGAATAGAACCCTTCAGATGTGTGAGGCAGTTTATGGTCCTCAAAAGCGCTTGACATTACAAAGTGGGTAGTCATGTTTAGTTGCATAGACTGACTCGGTTATCCTTTTGAAGGCATTAATTAGTTTTGCTAAATCCTTGGCCACAGGCTTAAGGTTCTGTCTGGACCATAACATCAAATCTTATACAGTTGGACTAAGAAGCAAATGCTGACAAATGCTTATTGTTGTCTAGGTTATTCATATCAGTGATCGCCCAGAGTCTATTAAACACAAAAAATACAGCATTCTTTTAACATTTAAAAATAATACTATACACTCCATGTTTCATTAAGGCTTTCGGTTGATTTGCACCTAGCATTTGCTTATAACTGCTTATACATTTTGAGTGTTGTTTCAAACATTATTTCTCGTCCAATAGAATTACATTTGCTATTTACAAAGAGAATCCCCAACAATTGATAACGGATTAGCTCATATACAAAACTTGATGGGTTCTATCATCACCACTCAAGGTTGTCACTCATATGAGGTGGGAATCTTCCATTTGTTCTCAGTGAAGCAGAACATTCAGAACAGCTTTCATACAGAGGTCATTATCCTCTTCATAAAGAGACACACCAACCATGGACACACAAGGCAGGGCTCCATCATTCAGTACTAGCCTAAGCACGAACTTTCAGTTAATCTTGAAAGAGAAAACGGCAAAATGCAATATATATATATATATATATATATATATATATATATATATATATATATATATATATATATATATATATATATATATATATATATATTTATTTGACTCTCAAGACTTTGCAATGAATTAGGGCATGTTAAAATGCTTAGTTGCATTAAAATATATTTTATCAAGGTGATAAATATTTTTTTAAAAAAGCTTGTATAAAAATAAAATATCTGCTCCACAAGTAAAAGGCAAGCACAAGTGATCTTCTGAAAGCCCTTTGAAGCAGCAAAGACTGCTAAAGCAACTGAGTTATATCTTTGGTATAAAAAAATGTAATTGCTTGCGAAGCATCCGTGCTATTGGCATGGAAATTTGATGCTGCCCTGTTTATTCTTACTGTCTTCCTGATGAATCTTCCATGTATAACATACAGATGTTGCTAACATGTCTTCCTACGATAATTGGGGAAAATCCCAGCACCTTCTTGGCTTTTCCCAGGACTCTGGAGTCTAAAATGAAATGATAATATGGATGGAATAATAATATTGATGGAAAGGTGGAAAAAAGTAAATCAGGTATGTAAAACATAATGGATTTTCTTTCAACAAATATTCCACAAAAATATCTTGCTAAAGTTTTACTCAGGGAGAATCAATTATAAATATAGTGACAACTGACTTCTACAGAAGGATATTTAAGCCAATTTTAAGTGATGGATTGTTTGATCTTAAACAGACAAACCTGTAAATCAAGTTACAACTTTAACATACAGTATGTGTCTAAAGTGTCTAAAGATATGCAAAACACTCTCATGTGTTCTATACTATCCCAATAATCTTATCTTTTCAATTTTAGACAGAAAAACATTTTCGTTTACTAAAACTGAGAAGAAAGGTAATTCCCAAGAGTACTAATGTCAATAGAATAGAATAGAATAGAATAGAATAGAATAGAATAGAATAGAATAGAATAGAATAGAATAGAATAGAGCTGGAAGGGACCTTGGAGGTCTTCTAATCCTGCCCCCTGCTCAAGCAGGACAACCTATACCATCTCAGACAGGTGAATGTCTAGTCTCTTCTTGAAAATCTCCGGTGATGGAGCACCCACGATTTCTGGGGGCAAGCTGTTCCACTGGGTGATTGTCCTCACTGTCAGGAAGTTTCTCCTTAATTCCAGGTTGCTTCTCTCTTTGATCAGTTACCAACCATTGTTTCTTGTCCTTCCCTCTGGCGCTTTGGTGAACAACCTGGCCCCCTCTGCCTTGTGGCAGCCCCTCAGATCCTGGAATACTGCTATCATGTCTCTCCTATTTCTTCTTTTCTTTAGACTAGCCAAATCCAAGTCCCACAGCCGTTCTTTGTATGTTTTAGTCTCCAGGCCATTGATCATCTTAGTTGCTCTTCTCTGAATTTTTTTTCCAAACTCTCAACATCTTTTTTGTGATATGGTGACCAAAATTGGCTGGAGTATTCCAGGTGTGGTCTTACAGTAATATACTAAATTAACAATTGAATTGCAGACTATCAAAATTAAAACTTTGAACTCTAATGACAAGGGAATGTCAATGTAAAATAAGGAAAAGTGAATGAGACAGAGAAATCAACCTATGACAAAAGCAGACAGAATTTAAGAAAACCGATGGATTTTATTGGAACTAGCTTTGTGCTTTAATTGCATGCATTCCCCTTCTTGCTCAGCCCACATCCACCAAGGTTAGAGCTGCGCTAAGATGTGTTTGATAGAAAGCTAATAGAGCCCTCTTTTAAACTGGCTCAAGTCAAATATCAAAGTTTTATTACCTGGATTCCAGCAATACATGAAGAATGCTAACCCTGCAGCAACACTGAAGCAGGCAAGAAAGAATGCAGGACCTAGAAAAGGAAAGAAATAAAAGCAGCAGGTACTTTGTTTTGTCCTTCACATTTCACAATATATTACCATTTTTTCCTAATGCAATGAGAATTATGGATGTCTTTATTTCTTGTAACTCTTTTTATCATCAGCCTTTTAAAAAGCTTGCTAAAAGAAAATCTCTTCAGGGATTTAAATTATACATTAATAAAATAAGTTTGGCTTCCCTTGGCTGTTTAAACTGTAAAATAATACCATCTAATAGAAACTATGTGATTATAGATCCCTTCCCGATGGGTTATCCGTGTTCACCTTCCCAGGCACAGAGCTGAATAAGATACAGGGGGATATGATAGGACTAATGATAAATATCTCCTCCTACAATCTCCCTGCCAACTGTATGCTTTTCACATCTACACATGTTAAGTGTAAAAATCTGCCAAGGGTTATGTAATCAAATACAATTGGTAAATTGGTTTAAATATGCAAAAATATTTTTCAGAGCTTCAGAAATTTAGAAGCTTGCATTATTAGAGCTGAAAGCAAACGTACGTGTCCCAGGCAGGATCCAATTTGGATCAGTCACCGGGATCAGAGGTTTTGACTCATGCTGGAGCTTATGCTCAGGTAAACTTCTGGTCCTAGCGACTAACCCAGATTGAATCCTTGCTTACAGGACCCTAAAGCCAGAGGTACATTTCTTTTCCCCATCCAATTTGTGCCCACATAGTAAAAGCTATGAATGCTGAGCCTTTTTCAGACTAGATGATATCGACCAATTCCCATCTCATTTAATTACAAATGATGACCACTGGTAACCCAAAGCTGATCTCCAGGGGTTCAAATAGGCTATTTGTGTATTATTATTATTATTATTATTATTATTATTATTATTATTATTATTATTATTATTATATAAAGGGCAGGGCCTCAACCATTTGGGAGATGAGTATCACTCATGTAGCTGTTAGGATGAAGACAATGAGCACAGCCCTAATGGTACAGTATTGAATGTCTTTTTTAAAAGAAAAAGAGAGAGAAAAACCTGACATACTTTGACTAGGGATAGAAAAGGAGCTGGGTGTGTAGTTTTTTACATTATAATAGGCTCCTTAACAAAGTGCTGGGTTTGGTACAGCATTAACAACCTCTACCTGCTGAGTTGCTTCCCTACCTTCAAAGGAAGAACTGAAGAAAAGAAAAAAGGAGTCAGGGGCCAGAGGGCAGCTAAAGGGAGCGTTCCTTTTAAAAATTATATGTGGAGATATCATAAGAGGAAGTAATGCACATATCTGAACACTCAGGAGCCTGCCAGGAAACCCAGCCAGCAGGTAAATTTAAGTTTAAAACAAAGTGTCATTGTTTAAAATTATTACATTAAGGTAGTACTTTCGTTAACCTTATTATTCATATGCAGCCAACAATATTTTATACATGTTATTTACCCCTGTCATTTAGAATATATTTCTCCTTCTCAGGGTTTATCCCTGTGGAATCTGAGGTTTCTAGAAACAAAAGCAATACACCGAGTTAGTGCTATATACAGTCCAACAAATTTCGGAAACAAATCATAAAAAAGTGAAAATAATGTTCAAAGTAATATAATCAAGACAATATGGCCTCTAACCCTCGTATGGACATTGTCTTCTATATTTAGCCTATTTCATACTTGTGTTTTGCTGATTTGCTGCTGCATATAAAGAGAAGGTTCTGTCATAAAAGCATGTTGGTATAAATGACATTAGATGTTTCAATGCTTGACTGGCAATTTCAGGATATTTTTTGTAAAAGCTCCATCCAGAAATTCATACGTTCGACATAAGAAAATGCAGTTTGTAATGTGAAATCAGTCGAATTTAATTTGTGCTGTAAAAAAAAGCAGCATTACCAGTAGATTGCAATTTGATATGCTTTTTCTGTATGTCTGCAATTGTACCAACAAACCATATCTGGTAAAAAGTTCAGATTAAATAAATGGTGATTATATACATGCACATGTATACATACTAAGGAGTCTAGGATTGGCATTTTTTCCCCTTCTTCCTCTTCTTCCCCTTCTTCCTCTTTCTTCACCTGGATTGAAAAGCCTTGTTCCTATGGAGGTTTTTTTTTTTTTTTTAAGTTGTTTCACAGCAAGACAAACTAACCAATTTTCCTTCTCACTCAAAAAGGATTTAATTGTGGAAGATATTTTCAATTATAGCTATTGCTTCCTGTAGTCACTTATTTCTCTGTGATATTCATATCTCATTCATAACTTTTGACATTTGTTTGGAATTTTTTTTTTATCCTCAACTGCACCAGCAGAAATAAGCCAAGCTTGGACCACGATCAATAACTTGAAAGGAACAGCCTCCCTCGACCTGTTTTCCAGATGTGTTGTGATTTACTTCTCCCTCCCCGAAACTAATTTCAGGAAGTCCTCGACTTACAACCAGTCATTTAATGACAGTTCAAAGTTACAATGGACTTGAAAAAAGTTACTTATCATCCATCCTTGAAGTTATGACTGCTGTACCTGGTTGGAGTATCCCATAGTCACCTCACATTTCCTGACATTTTTTTGCCATTTTCTACCACCCATTGGCTAAAATGGGCTCACGTTTATGACCATGTGGTTCTCTTAGCAACAATGGTTTGCTTAATGATAAGGTGACCAAACGTCCTCCTTTAGGGAGGACAGTCCTCCTTTTGTAAGTTCTGTCCTCCCTCAAAAAGTGCCCTCCTTCATGTCCTCCTTTTCGATATTTGAAGACTAATCTGCAGGGCTTTTTTCCCCCCTCATAGAACACGCAGAATGGCATTCCGGCACCTTTTTTTGATGGTTTTTTTTTTTCAACTTTTCCATGAGCTGTGCTACTCCCACTATTGGTTTTCGAAAGCCAATAGGAATTGCTGCTGAGCGTGCCAAAACACCCGGCTGGCAAACTTTGCACATGCAAGTTGTCTGTATTATTGTTGCAATAAATAAAATGTTTCTTTTATTTACGATATTTTTTTCTTCAATTTATTTGTGTCCTCCTTTTCATTGTAAAAAATTTGGTCACCTTATTAATGATCATGGTGACTTGTTTAACAACCACTATAAAAACGGTCCTATAATTGAGTCCAGTCACATGGTGCCTTGACATACAATCACTACACAACTTAAAACCAAAATTCCAGTCCCAATTGTGTCTTAGTCAAGGATTACCTGTAAGACCTCTAGATGTGGTTAGCTTTGAGTCACTATTGTATTCAATCACTATTGGCAGTAAGTAGAACATATAGTACTTATTGTACTTAGCATGTCAAACTTTAACTTGCTTGCCATAAGAAAAAATGAACTATTTTAATCCCACTTTCAAAACCTTCCACACAGTATGTCTGCCATAGATATTTGCATTCTGGAGTACTGAAGCAGCATGATAAGAAAAGCCATCTGAGAATTTGGACTAAATCTGGATACTCCATAATATGTAATTTTGTCACAATGTCTCCTAATATTGATTTGCATATAGCTGGAACGTGCCCTTGGTGCAATTCTCAGACATTTGTTTAAAAGCCAGCTGTTTTCTATCTGAAAGTGCTCTTCATCCCTCACAGACAAAGCTCAGTGCTGTATTCAAAATCAATGTTTGAACACTGAGAATGGGTCTCAGAAACCAGCACTTACAGGAGGGAAAAGCTCCAGCTGACAGAAGTGGTAGAAAGTCTATGCTTCCAGTCTCTTTTCTCATGCACACTGCAAACCCACGGAACTTGTAAAATTGACAGCAAAGCCTCAGGGTATCATTATACACAGCTGCAACATGTAATTTGCACTGGAAATCCATGCAAAAGTCTAGCTTTTTATTGTTTAAAAAAGGGGGAAAGCTCAAGTCCAAAATCGTACGACAAAAATAAATGTGGTTGACTGATCCCCTTACTTTGTTCCTGGAACATGTTTAAAGAGCAGAGATTTTTTTTTTTTTTTGGCCTTCTTAACTATGAAATACATTTGGAAAGCTTTTGAAAATATAAGCCCTTATATTGGCCACTTTCAGGAATAGGAAAATTGTGAAACAGTTACTAGGGAGGCAATATGTCCCACTGGTTATAGCCTTTCCATTGCAAAGTACAGTGGAAGAATGTTGTATTAAAAGATTCAAATCACTTAACACCAGACAATCCATATGTCTAATAAAGGCCTTTAAAATGAAGCATGCTCCTAATTCCCATCATTGCTGTGACACAGACAATGGCAATTGGGTATTTTATTGCTATCACTATATAAGCTAATCATGATTTTTCCAAACAATACTACAGTATAATTTTATGCACTGCCTTCCAAGAGTAAATTGTATTGAGTTCAACGGAACAGGTTACAATTTCCTGTTCAGCTCATATTTTGTTCCACAGCTGCATCTGCAATCTATTGCCCATAAAACTCAATTGACTCCCTCCCTGCTTCTGTCAGAGCAGTTGGTGGTCTCAATTCCCTGGGAGAAATACAGGATACAAGTATGATTACTAAATCTTTCCTTCAAGACAGTGAAGTACCGTATATTGCAATAGGTCAGAGATGCTCTTTGCTAGTCTGTTGCTCAAGCCTCACATGCTTGCTATAGCCTGAACTGCAAAAAGAACTATTTAAAGCAGAGGTCCCCAACCTTTTGAGCACCAGGGACCAGTTCCGTGGAGGGAGGTTTTTCTGCGGACCAGAGGGTGCGTGGTTTTGTGTGCTGCCTGTGGATGGGGCTTTGCTTGTTTGTGCGGACCGGTTGCTGGCATGCCTTGGTACTGGTCCATGGATCGGGGATTGGAGACCCCTGATTTAAAGGAACATAAATCAACCACTCAAATCTGTTATTCCAGGGGTCCCCAATCCCTGGTCCGTAGAGTGGCACTGGGCCGTGGCATGCCAGAAACCGGTCCATGCAAACAAGCAAAGCCCCATCTGCAGAAAGCAGGCAGTACATGAAACCACGCCCCCTCCGATCCATAGAAAAACCTCTCTCAACGGAACTGATCCCAGGTGCTCAAAAGGTTGAGGACCTCTGTTTTATTCTATTACTTCTATAGTAGATATCAGATATTAGAGTTCTTGACACTATTTTAGCTAGGAGAGCAATACAACATACTAACAACTAAGTCCAGGCAACTAATAGATAAATTATAAAGAAAAGTCAAGGCTGTCTGGGGGAGGCAAGGATGGAACATGCAAACTCTAACCTTTATATACTTGTATGCCATGTAATCATACAAATGCAAAAGAGCAGACTCATGCCGTATTATGTCATAATGCAAGCTTCATTACTTTGGTATTACTATGGACAGGAGCAGAAAACCACAACAATACATCTAGTTTTCAATGAAGCTTCTCCTGTCCATTGTACAAATAGTTTACTATGAACTGAGAAACCTGACAAATGATGTACAATGCTAAAAAGTAACCCCGTCTTAAAGTTTAAGTTAGCACATTAACCACAGTCAAACTAAGCAATATTATTCTGATTCCAGACTGTTGGAAGGAAATCATAGAAATAACATTTGAAAGGAACATAATTTGATAATCGAGAAATTTTCCTTCCCTTACAATTCAGAAAAAGTAATCAGGAACTGCAGTTCTTGACACTGTTTTAGATAAGCTGGTATGCCAGAAACAATGCAATGCCTGCTTATTACAGCAACCACAAAAGAGAAGCTTGCATATCAAATCAATTGAACTGGCATCATAATATTTTAATGCAAATATGCTTTCTAGATTGAACACCTGCAAATTGTTAAGGGGAATACAGTACATCTATGGTTCTTTGCTACCTGCAATCTATTTATTTGAACAATTCACTTTTGTAGTTTGCCAACAAAATGAAAGGATTGGATATGTTAGATATTGAATTCTTGCTAATTTCTGACCTTGTTTGCTTACCTGCAAATATTTCATTACCAGGCTGGGCAACATTATCCATGCATGGTGAATGGGATTTGCTGTCAATTGTCTGATTATATACAATAGACTGCTCTGCTAGCCCTGGTTGTGATGTGGCTTCTTCGTTTATGGTTCTTTGGGCTCGGGTATTGTTTACCTGGTGCTGTTTCTTGCTTATATTGGTTTTAGCTGCCAGTGAGAATGTGTTTGCTTTTCTGACTTCTGGTTTTATCTTTTAAATGGTGTGGAAAAGGGTTTATCTCTACTGTCTGTTGATGGCCAATTTGCCTGATTCCTGGCCAAGCTTCCAAAAATTCCCTAGCCGCTGCTGCTTTCCCCCTCCCCATATGGAGTACCCCACCGCTGCTTTCCCCAGTGGCAAAGGTGGAGTTTGGGAGGCAGCAGCAAGGCATAGCCCAAGCATGGCCCAGCCACAGCAGCAAAGCATTCAAGAGGCCATTATATCTATATTCTAAATATGAAAGTCGGTTTGGTGTAATGGTTAAGGCAGGGGTCCCAAACCCCCAGTCTGTGGACCAGTACTGGGCTGCGGCATGACAGCAACCGATCCGCACAAACGAGCAAAGCTCCATCTATGGGATGCAGGCAGCACAC